GGACACAGTATTCCAGCTGGGGCCTGACCAGAGCAGAGTACAATGGCACTATTACTTCCCTTGATAGACACTGTACTTCTATTGATGCAGCCTAAAATTGCATTGGCTTTGTTAGCTGTTACTATGGGGAGAGAGAGAAAAAGAGAGATGGATTTATCCATTAAAAAATAAATAAAAGTGAGTTCCATATGAAGCCCTGGTGGCGCAGTGGTTAAATGCCTGTACTGCAGCCACTCACTCATAGACCACAAGGTTGTGAGTTCAATACAAGGTCGCGAGTTCAATACTAGCCAGGGCTCAGGCTAGACTCAGGCCTGCATCCTTCCGAGGTCGCTAAAATGAGTACCCAACTGTTGGGGGGCAATGAGCTTACAGTTGTAAACCGCTTAGACATCCCATAGCACTATATGAAGCGATATATAAATGAAGCTGCTTTATTTTGCTTACTGGTGGGTCCCATATCTAAGAACAATAAACCAAATAAGTCTGAGTTGAGTGTCTGCACCCAGGAACCCTCCCTCCCTCCTCAAACCAGAGATGATAAGTGGACACAATGCACAATGATAATGAGGGATTCCAAGAAGCAAGTAGAAAGCTCAAAAGGAGGATACACCTGGATATTTATCTCTGTTTCCTTTCACCACAAAAGGAAGACAACAAAACAAGAGTGTTTGAGGAGGAATGCTTTCCCTCCAGAAAGTAGTGGAGATTGTAACCTAGAGACATGACAGAGAGGAAGACAGAGCTGTGCTGTTGTATCCTGAGTGCTGAGGCAGCTGAAATGCGCTGATACAGACTTTTCATTATCTGAAACAATTACTTAGGCCAGCACAGTGGTAGACTTCATGAAATGTTTTTGAACTTGGATTCCTGATAGGAGTGCATTACATAACATGCTCTTTGTGAGCGCCAGCAGCCAGGAACCTACAAAAAAGGACACAGTCAGGAGCATTGCGCTCGGCTGCTTTCTTTCTCTTTGCTTTTAAATCGGAGCCAAGCATTCAACAGACAGGCCTATATCTTTCACTTGCCCTCCCCCTTCACCAACAGGAGCCTGGCTTTCATCACAGATTAATAAACCAAACTCGCTGTCATTTTATTCTACTTCCCACAGCCCTCCCTTTTTTGCACTCTTTTATGGAAAAGAGGCAGCTGGTGTGTGTGGTATGTACCTCCACTCCTCTCTGGAAAGAAGATGGTTGCTGTCAATTTAAAACTCTTCCATTAGTTTGACCTGTTTCACATTAAGCAGTTTTAGAGTTTCTGATACACACACTTCAACTTTGGCAAGTGAAGGAGATGGAAGCTGAAGCATTTAGCTCTTGAAATGTATTTTTAAGTACTGTTTGTTAATTTCTTCAATGCTGTCTCTCCTGTGTGTCTTCAAGTCATTTCTGACTTATGATGACTGTAAGGTAACCCTATCATGGGTTTTCTTGGCATGTTTCTTCAGAGGGAATTTGCCATTGCCATCCCCTGAGGATGAGAAAGTGTGACTTACCCAGTATTTTTTTGTGGCTGAACTGTGATATGGATCCTAGTCTCAAGAGTCATAATCCAATGCTCAAACCACTATGCCACACTGACTCTTATTCCTTCACTAGATAGATATATTCAAGAATCTAAATATTCAAAACCTTCATTGGCGTCCTTTTAGACCTGAAAGCCATGAACATGGAAATGTTTTATATTACTCAGGAAAAAAAGATAGGATATAAATGAAACTATAAATAACAAAAAATGCATTCTCTTTAGGGCCTGCAATTTGCTCTTAGTGAACAACAAAGCTCCCCTCTGCCCTACACCTTCCTCTGCCCTGCTTTTTCATCAGATCATGTAGATCAGGATAGGAAACACTTGGCCAAGGTTACCCAGTAAATTTCATTGCTCCTTGGGGATTAACAAATCTAGATATATTAAGTTCAATCTAGATCTATCAAATTTCAATCCTACACTCAAAACATACAACAGTGGGAAGTAATTCCATAGGTATGGGCCAGGCATTGGTCAATATGTTGTCTTGATAGAAGGCAGTTATGTTAGATAGAAGGTGTGTGTTGGGTACAGGATCTGACATGTGGGTTAGGGGGATTAGAAAGATGCCCTTCTTCTAGAGCCACCATCATCTCTCCTTCTCTTCAGTTTTGTGTCTACCTGTTACATGCTCTCTCCCACTTGGCCCTATTTGCACCACCAGCCAAAGATAGAAGTCTGCAGTGATGTTTCCTTGCTTCTGTAGCTTCATCTGCACTGTAGAATTAATGCAGTTTGACACATCTTTTCTGCCATAGCTTAGTGCTATGGAATTCTGAGATTTGTCAGAGAGCTCTGGGGCCACAACAAACTACATATCCCAGGATACCATCAGATGGAGCCATGACAGTCAAATCCTGTCATTTAGAATTGCATTAATTCTGTAATGTGGCAGAACTCTAACTCTTCAGTGTCTTGAAGAGGGCAAGTCAATAGCAACAGGTTCAGGGGACTCTGAGGAGTTTAGCAATCAAATCAGCACAGCTACACCCCTCATCCCACTCTTTATCCAGGATGGAATAGAGTCAGCTAGATCACAAAGCCAAGCAAATGTGTGAACAACAAAGATGGTTGCCTCATCATTTCTAATTTGGCCCATAGTCACATGCTACTCCTCTGAATCAATTATCACAACTGCCTCACAGCCCCCTTCATATTATTTCAATTTCTTTTCTCTTTTTTTGCCCAAAGCCTTTCTCTCCATAATTTATGTGGTCATGCTTAAGCCCCCACTTGAAAGCATTAGACAGTTCAGAGGTTAAAGAGAAATGCTGAGAATGGTGATATGCGAGGGTTTGCTCCAGCCTTTTAATCCAAAAGACAGAATTTTGATACAATTTGAAGTGCTTTCGTCAACCGTAAAGCTCCAAACATGGTTTCAGAAACACATATCACAGATTGTGAGCCCTTTTGTTTGAATAGGATGATAAAGAGAGGAAACAGGCTATCATATTGACTTGTCCCCCTAAGCAGATGGGCTGCCGTGGGCTGCCCTGGGAAGGTGTGCCGCGGGACCGAGGCATTCCCATGCCTCGATCCAGTGGTGCACCATCGGTGCCCCTGGAAAGGAGTGCTAAAATAGTGCTCCTTTCATATGTCACCGAAAGTGCGACGCAAAAGGTTGTGGCGCACTTTCGGTGACTTTTCTCCCGCAGCGTGTCCAGATGCCGCAGCGGGAGGTCTTCCTCGGAGTGCCGGCCATGCGGAGGGCCGGCGGCTCCAAGGGCAACCTCGGGAGGAGGAAGGAGCGCCGAGCGTGCGGCTGCCCCTCCTTTTCCCTGCTTCCAGGACGGCCTATTAAGCCGTCTGCTTAGGCCCTCAGTTTCCTGGCCCCCATCTTTTCTCTGTCTCATCCAAAAGTGATCTTGTGTATATGATATGAGAGAGGGTCTCTAAGATCAATTTCTGATGAGATGGAAATTCAGTAAAAAAGAGAAACTCCTTGGCATCTCTCTGCTCTTGTCAAATAAGGCCCCATCATTTCCTTTGCTATAATAAATCTTTAAGCAAATTAAGCATTGGGGTTTAATGCTGTTTGACATTTTCCAAGATTCTCACCCCAGCAGTGGCCTATTGAAGTGACATAAAGACCATGTTTATGGTTACATGTCTGCCTTCTTCTAATTTAAATATGAGGGAGAAAATTATATTATTATTATTATTATTATTATTATTATTATTATTATTATTACATCAAAAAGAAACACAATGTACAGAGAAGGGAACTGAAACCTCAGCATCTTGTTTCCAGGTACCCTGATGCTTCAGAAGATATCTTCATTTTGAAACTTTCTTTAATCATGGCAAACATTTCTTCCAGACACCTGCTTTTCATTTGTGTTGAATCACTATGGATGTATCCACACTGCAGAAATAAAGCAGTTTGACACCACTTTAATTGTCATGACTCCATCCCATGGAATCCTGGGATTTGCAGTTTGGTGAGGTATTCAGCCTGGTCTGTTAGATCAAGCTAAACCAAAATACAACTCCCAGGATTCTGTAAGATAGAGCCATGACAGTTAAAGCTGTGTCAAACTGCTTTATTTATGCAGTTGTGGTGCCTTAGCTTTATGGTTGCATCTGCA